ATATCAATCCTTTCCAATCTTTCTAAACCCCTAGAAAAGTTAGTGCAATCCCAAGTTTCCAACTTCCTTGAACAATCCAACCAACTCGATCCTCTCCAATCTGGCTTCCGTCCTGGCTACTCTACACAATCTGCTCTGATTAAAATTACTAGTGATATCCAGACTGCAATAGATGACAAAAAACTAACCATACTTATACTTCTTGATTTCTCTAAAGCTTTCGATTCCATTATCCATTCCATCCTTTTCAACAAACTAAAATCATTATCCTTCTCCAATAGTTCCATCTCTTGGTTCCAGTCTTTCCTCTCACAACGAACCCAAGCAGTTTCCATACCTAATCAACCTCTATCTGCCTACCTTCCTTTATCCTCAGGAGTTGCACAGGGTTCAAGCATGTCTCCTCTTCTTTTCAGTTCTTATATTAATGACCTAAATGATACAATTATCCATTGTTCCCACCACCTTTATGCCGACGATTCTCAAATCTATTTAGCCTTTTCTCCCGCTGAGTTATTGGTGGCATTTGCCAAAATTCAAGAAGATTTAGATCGAATTAATGCCTGGGCCAACTTAAATGGATTAAGGCTAAATGCTGCCAAAACTCAGGCCATTCTCATTGGTTCCAAGCCCCTTCTTAGATCCCACACCAACTTTCCCTCACTCTATCTAAACAACCACCCCATCACCTTCTATCCCTTTGTTAAAAATTTAGGCTTTCTCATAGATCAAACCCTTTCCTGGAATCACCATATCTCTCATATATCCCGCCGTGCAATTTCTACCCTCAAACTATTCCATCACTTCCGCCATCTTCTACCCCAAAATACCCGTAGACTCCTAGTTTCCTCTCTCATCTTTCCCCACTTTGACTACAGCTGTGTGGTGTACGATGGCCTCTCGGTGGAACTGCGTGATAGACTCAAAAGACTTATGAATTGCTTCGTAAGATTTGTAATTGGAACCCCGAGACGCTCCCGTGTCTCCCACCACTACACTGAGTTAGGGTGGCTCTTCCCCTCCTTAAGAAGACAATATTTCCTTGGCACTTTCCTGTATCAAATCATTACCGATCATCGTCCTTCTTATGCCTACAACCTTCTCCAATTTATGTCCTCAATCCATTCACTCACTACAAGATCCCGACCCTCTGACCTATACATCCCTTCTCATAGATCTGCCTCATTCCAAAATTCCTTTATAGCCCGCTCTGTCAACTTTTGGAATTCCCTCCCGATCAAAATTAGACATGCCCCTTCCCTGTACACATTCAAAAACCTCCTATTCCAATTCCTGTTCCAAAAACAGTCAGATACCAGCTAACCATTAATATTATATATGTATTGTGTAGCAATCATATAATCATAACACTTGGTAAGAGATAGTACATGCATTTCCTACTATCGACGTAGGAATTTCAATACATACATTTTTTTGTATTTTTTTTTTTTATTCAATTATAAGTAACTGTTTATTTTCACATATATATTCAAGTAAAGTTTTTTTTTTTTATGAAATGAACTCATTGTATCTCTTTTTCGTTCTTCATTTCTCAAAGTGTATGTTTATGTTGTTCAACCCTTAAATATAATTTTGTTCATAGTTCAAGTGATTCGTTCATAGTTTTAATTGTTTTGTTCATAATTTTAAATGCTCTGTACATAGTTTTATCTGTATTGTATATAGCTTGTGCACCTAAGGTTTTCTTTACTTTTTATTTTATTTTATCAATTTTATTTATTATTTCAACGTTCAGGCCAGTAATATTCTATTATTTTGTACATTATTGTTATTCTGAAGGGACTTAGTCCCAGAATAAAGTTTTTTTTTTCTATCTATCTATCTATCTATATATATATAGCTTGTTTAACTAATATTTTCTTTACTTTCTCTTCTTTTATTAATGTTTTATTTAGGCTAGATGTAGTCTTTTAATTATGTAATATTTTGTTATTCTAAAGGGACTTTGTCCCATAATAAAGTTATTTTCTATTTCTATTTCTAAAATTGTTACATATAACCTTTTGCACTAACAAAAGCGATATTTGGAGATGTTAGGGAAGGATCCATGGTAATATAAGAGGTAGATTTTGGATGTGGAACTATTAAGGAATTAGGAAGAAATGATACCTTCTTTATGTAAGATATAATAATTAATAGATTAAATAACCGATTATTTCAAATATCGAACTGTTTAAAATAGATTGTCAGAGGCATATATATATATAAGGAATTATAGTCCGTGGTGCAGATCCCTTTTCATCGAATTATTAACATCCGCCTGAAACTTCGTAAATAGTTTCATCTCATTGTAACCTACAACTATTGTATTTACGAAAACTCTTGGATTCGGGTCGTTTTCAATTTGGAGGGTGGCAAACCTTTTCTATTTAATTAGGTACTAAAAACTAGTAAATACTTATTTGCTTTCTACTTTAATCGTAAAATAATTTGATCACAAAATCAATTCAAAAGTTGGCCTACAAATATATTGGGCAGTTTGGCCTATACAACCTCGTCATTTTGAAAGTCTGAGGATGTAGGTCACGCCAAACGGCTCAATATTTTTAAAGGCCACCTTTTTTCTCGATTATGTGATAAAATTATCTTATCTTATATTATCTTACGAACCAAGTTGAAAGCAGATGAGTATTTACGAGTTTTTAGTACCTAATTAAATAGACAAAGTTCGTCCCCCTCCAGATTGAAAACGCCCCAATTCTAAGATTTTTCGTAAATAAAATAGTTGTAGATTACGATGAGATGAAATCATTTACGAACTTTCAGCTTGTGTTTATAATTCATGTTAATAAGTCGATAAAAAAGGGTCTGTAGCTCGGACAATTATTTCTTTTAATTGATGCATCTACAACGATCAATTTTTCAGAATGTGGTTCCATTTTGTTTAAGTGAAATTTTATTTAGCCGCGTTTCGCACTTTTCTGTGGAGAGTGAATTAGATTGATCCGTCAGATACCCGAAGTATTAACGCTCGGATAAAAATCGGCTTTAGTCGACTAATTGAAATGGTTTTATATATGGATTAAAATATCCGAAAAACCAATAATCGGAAATGAATAATGAAAGCGAGAAAAAAAAAAAACATTTCATCTTCTCTATAATAAGGAGGCAAAAACGAAAAATAGTGTCGAAAACCAAATGATAACGAGTTTAGTTGAACATATGGATTAAATATTTAGTACTTTAGTAATATTTAGTACGAAAATCCACTGTATTTCCAAGGTATATAGCATAAGTAGGGTATCTTTTTTACCATCAGAGGTCGCAGTCAAGTTAGGCAGTAATAATGGAGCCGTAACAATTGCAAGGACTGCTTATATTTTTATTTATCACTAAATACATATACATATTTTTCGATGGTAATACCATTGAATAATACTCCATACCATTAAAACCACGAGACTCAAATTGGTTTGGGCATGCGATGAGGATGGAAGAGGGACGATGGCGAAAGCGAATTCGGAATTGGAAACTGCAAAGAAGGCCGAAGGAGGAGAACCTGTTATGAGGGAATTAAGGGAAGGAAAGATGAAAAGGAATATGCGTGAAGAAGATGTCAAAGACTTCTATTTAGTGACGACATATGCCTAGTGTTGTAAGTCATTAAATAAAAAACATATACATATATACATTTAAATTAATTCTATTAATTTACAAATCAATGTTACTTAAATAATTAAATATTAATTAATTCTAAAACCTTGAGACGTTGTTCATCCCTTAATGTAAGCGGTCACGTTTCGCTTCCATAAAGAACCGAAGTAAGGATAATGGTTTTATAAATTCTAATTTTTAAGTTTCGGGACAGGAGGCGAGAACTAAGCATTTCCCGCCTTCAACCTAACTTTAATATCCGTTTCAATTTCGTTTTTTTCTAGTTATCGTAGAAGTTTTTTTTTTTTGGTTTATTATTTTCAATAATCAACCATTGTGATCGACCAAACAATTCAAAAACTTAATCCCCTCTCAAAATTTGAGGTTTGCGTTTCAGGGTTCGTAGAATTCGAAAAACGAATAAAAATTTCTTTGTCGCCGTACGCCGCGCATTTTCTCCGAAACTACTGGACCGATTTTTTTTTTCAAATTTTGGTATATAATCAGAGGTCACCCGTGGATGATCCTCCTTCATCGACATTCATATATGCCTTTTACTTTCAAAATGGCGTCCGAAAAACCTGCTTTGCTATAGACTGTAGCTCCTAAACGAATGTACAGATTTCAATGAAACTTATCTAAAGTCATTTTTTCGACGCCCTTTAAATTTATCTATATCATATACTTCAACGAAAAGGAGCTGGAAAAAAGTTACGAGGGATGGTAAAATTAAATTCCGAATAACTCAAAATTTAATACTTTTTGTTAATATTGTATATGGTTTTTTAAAAGTTAACGAAATTTCCTAAAAAAAAAAAAACGTTAAAATAGGACAATTAGGAGCAAAGATATGGTCTCCGGTCTTTTTTTATATGTTCTACTCCAAATGTTAAATACTCGGTTTGGTTTTTAAATTTTGAATATGTTACTGAAGTAAGGCTATTTTTTTTTTAGCATATTAGTAATGATTTAAAAAAAAAAGTTTAGTCCAATAATTGGAATCACCTTTTGTTTATTTTTCTTTGTAACTCGGAAGGTAATGTTGCTTTAGATGTATAATTGTTGAAAATAATAAACCATTGTGAAATAATTTGCAGCTTTTTTTTTTTTTTTTTAGTTCTACCACTAGATTAATAAATATCGCGCAAAAACTTTTGGAGGACGCAGCTACTTCACAGACAGAGGCTGCATGCGGTTCTCCACCTACATTGTATAATATTGGTTGTGACAGTTCTAGGTAATGAGGAAACATTTGATTCTGGATGATATAATCATTATTTTTACTTAACAATGAATGATAAACATGCTTTTAAAAAAAAGAAAGAACGTCGCTTTCATTTGTGGTTTGATTGTCAATATATATCGATCAATAATCGTGTACTTACCCTTTCGAGGTTTTCCCTAATCGTGAGCGAAGTCGGTAGTTCATCCTCCGAAGATTTTAGTGTTTTCAAATCGGCGGCCATGTTTCAAGAAGGGTGGATACCGATCACATTAAGCAGATAGTATGTCATCTTTCTTAATAGTACAATACCTCTGATCTTGAAGTTGATAGGTTATATTTTTTATCATAAAACATATGATCTGGCTGAGAGGAATGGAAGGGAAAGGATGAAATAAAAATTCTAAAATAAGTTTTACTTTGTGTTATATATATATATTTTGTTATAAAACACATTAAAATAATATTTATACATAATAAAAATATATACTTAAAATACTTTATTCATACAAAACATATGGTATTTATTCTTTGTCTTGAATATTCTTTCATAAAATCAAGAAAAAAATAAGTTTTTATACAATGGAATGTATATGTCACTATCCAAGCAATCGCAATGGAAAAATAAAATATCACATTCAAATAAACATCCTTCACAAAGATAATATACAAATTAATACTTGAGTCAGATGGTAATGCATTTTAATTATTTCTCAGTTCAACTACTACTAAAAATCTCAGGACCGGAATTGAGCAACTTTTTTGTTATGTTTTTGTTTGCTGTAGGGCAAAAATAAATAAATAGAATAAATAAAGACATATAAGATGAATATAGTTTGCCAATTCGTAATATTTTCCTTTTTTATTTTTTTTTAATGCAATCTGATTTGTTTTATTTAAATTTTTTACATAAAAGGCTTCATGGTGGGAGGGCTGGATTTCCGCCTAATCTTGTCCGCTTGAGGAGCTAGTACAGGAGGCTGGGGCATACAGAAGGACTTGCGGTCCGGCCTGGTGAGGAGCGGGGTGGACAGTGTAGGCTGTTGGGCCGCACCGCCGTTGTTGAACAGCTCCACGGTCTTGGCGACGTTGGACAGCGGCTGCTGCCTCATCTCGGACGACGTCATGTAATAAGGTTTCTTCGGCGGCTTCTTCACTTCTTCTTCCTGACTCGACTTGCTCGTCTCCGAGGAGAAGGACTCCGACCTTAAGTACTTGGGAGGTGGGGCTTCCACTCCGAGGCAAAGCGCCTCTTCTTCTTTGTTCTCGCTCTTTACTTCGATCCCTTCTTCCTCGTTCGTCACGTCTTCTATCTGTATGTCTGGTAATGTTATCCCCGTCTTCTTCCTTGGCATCCTCTTCTTCGGTTTTTGTCTCCTGATCTTTATGTCTGGTATGAATAACCTAAGGGCATTCGGCCCAGTTGGAAATTTGCTCGCTATTTTTGCATCAATATCTTGCTTACTCATGGTGACCTCTATCGAACTCTTGGTAACTACTTCTTGGTGCTTGTTGTAAGCTGAGACTAGTTGTGCTACTGTGAACCGTGGTTCGTCTTCCTCCGTCGTTTCTCCTCCGAGCCTCCTGAGATCTTCTTCGGATGTGGTCGCCCCTTCTGTAAAAGACATGGAATCTGTACTTTCAGGTGACGGGGGTTGGTCCTCTTCGGGGGTTTGAGTGAAGACGAGCCTTTCTACTACTTTATTGTTATTTTTTACATCGGTGGTTTCAGTTTCGTTTTCTTCCGGAACTGAGTTCTTAATACTGTTGTTCTTGGCTTCCTGGAAGGGAGGTTTGAAGAAGTTTTCCTTTACATCTTGGCCGATGTTCCTAATGTTTTCTTTGTTCTCTTCTCGATCACCGGTGACTGACGCGTTGCTCAACCTCCTGATGATGTCTAGAACCGGTTCCTCTTCGTCTTTGTGATTGTTTTCCAGATCAGATATACTCATCATAGATGAATTAAGAGATTCGTCTCCTTTCAACTTGAGTATGCCTGAGAATGCTTTTGTCTTGTCTTCTTGACTTTCTTGTAAATTGAGAACGCTCCTGTAGAGGTTGAGGACCTCTTGCGATTTGGACAGGCTCTTGAGGCCATAGAGCTTTTCCCTCGACCTACTCATGATGGATTCCTTCATGAGCGCCCTCTCCCTCGACTTGGAAACTAGAGACATCTGGCTCTCACACATCCTCTTAGTCCTCTGGTACTGTTGGAGTAATGTAGTCTTCCTCAGGCTCTTCTCGGCATTCCTGGACATGACCTTCTCGAACAAGGCCTCCCTCGACTTGGACAGGTAGTTCCTCAGGTTCTGGTTGGTAGGTGAGCAGGACGAACAGCCGACCCTGCGGTCACTCTTGGTGGTGTTCCTCTTGCCTGGCCTTGTCGTGCGCCTGTTCTTTGCTAGCCAAGGATGCTTGAGGCATTCTTTTGCTGTCATCCGTTCACTGTAACATATATTATGAAAAGTTAATAAAAGTCCATTACTTCATCTAATATTATTTAAAACCGAATGAACATATAATTTCATTGAATTAGATAAATATTTGAGAAAACTATTATTCCTGATATTTTATTCATCAGAATATGTTTGCCTCCCCCCTCCAAAAAAAAAAAAAATTAAAATAGCAGGATTTGCATGAAGAACTGATGCAATTATAGAAAAAAAAGGCCATAGTCTCAGAAGCTCGCAAAACATGATAAGAACATCGATTCTCGACACCAGAGACCGCCAAAATGATTGTTGCACTCTGGAGCGTTTGTGAGTTACCGAAGACCAAATTGATGAGGAAAACAGGTCTCAATGTCTTGAAAGAGAGTGGTTAGCCTTCTAATTACGAAGAATTAGATTAAAGAACTCTACCAGCATTTGCACTTAAAGAGCTTTGTACATGACGGAAAGCAAACTCACCACTGATTATACACGCAATCATTTGTAAATACAAAAAATATTATCAAAATCTAACGTTTCTTTGTGTAAGAAATTGGTTCCAGACCATTTGTACAATATTCTCCGGAGTGTAGAAGGAAAATTAAAATTAATAGATGAAAATGTATTACGTTTATTTACTTCTATATTTTGTTACAATTTGGTCACAGACTCATTCTCACAGGTCAACTACATGAAATTTAAATTGAATTTATTTTATGCAAAAATGATTTTGTAATTATAACTAAGTATGGCAGTTTAATAAATTATTAATTTCAGTTTTCTAGATGATGATAAAGAGAGAAAAGAAACTGAACCAAATTACCTCGGGTTGCGAACAAGTAGCCTGCTGACAAAGTCCTTCGCATCGTCGGATACGTCTTCGAACAGCTCATCCGGGAAGTCGACCTGGGCTCTGGAGATGTTGAGGAACGTCTCTTGATCGGTCTCGCCTCCGAACGGGGAGAAACCGGTCAGCAGGACGTAAGTTGTCACACCGAGGGACCTGGAATGGAAAAAAATAGAGTAAACATTATAAGTATTTTCTCTAAGATTTGCCGTAAAGAAAATATTTGATCAATAGTCGAACGATTCCGTCTAAATCCGCATTGGTAGTCTCCGATAATTTCCTCGGCGTATTTCTTGATTTGACTGGTTAAGATTAAAGTGAATATTTTATAACATACCGGAAGGAGTGTAATTCCTCGATAGTTATTACAATCCGTCCTCGGGCCCTTTTTTTGAATCGGAATAATAATAGATTCTTATTCTGATTAAAAATAAAAAAATGATAATAAAACGGTAATGGTAATATACCTGAGAAACAGTTAAGAAATTGAGTAGCGGGAGTTAATGAAGAGTAAGCGACGCTACCGCAGGGAGTTACGATCGCCATAAAACCCCGCCCACCTGGCAAGGAATCGCAGCTAACTTGATCGTAAAAACGCTCGCCCTGTATTTTGATAAACAAGCCACCCCCCCTTCCTCGTAAGGAGAGCAGTAAAAGTAATATTTACGAGACTATTCCATTTATTTATCGATACTTAAAGAGCCCTTATGTTTCCCCTCCTAGGCCTTCCTAATGACACTTCAAATGTTTCCGGAGCGTTTGCAAGGTCTTCAGTTCCTATTCTCTGAACGGAAGACGGCAATAAAAACATATTTCAATATTCATTGTATCGAATTTAATGTCAGTATTTTTCTTCCTCACTACCTAAGGTAGGGAAACTTTGTATTCCTGCGGAACGTTAAAAAAAAAAGTCTGTGCTTCTTCCCTCAGTCAACCCTCCTCCCCAATAAAAGTTAATAATTCATAAGAATATTTTAGGTAATATAGTCTAAAATAAATATCAACATACCATAACATAACATAACCATAAAATAATCAGACATTATTATTTGTTATTTAACTTAAAAATACAATGTCGTTTTGGAAATTCGCTTTCAAATTCTGTGACAGGAGACAAATATCCCATTGTCCCTAGCCCAATGTATTAGTTATGGATCGTTTCAGACGTTTAAGGAAGTTAATGATATATATATTTATATATAAACATACAATATATAATAAAGGAAGGAGATGGTCCGGGGTGGCGGTCATAAATAGGCTGAATAGTGGCAAAACTATTTTATTAAAAGCCAACGTTTCGACCCGACTTTGCAAGATACAAACAGATAGAGAATTGTGGAAGTTAGTACATTAAGATATAAACAGAGCAAGCTAAGTAACAAGATCTTTAACTGAAGTAAATAAATGGTAACAATTGTTGTAGTATAATATATAATATAATATATGCAAATGTGAATATACTTCTACAGATCTACTTTTTCCTTTTCTTTCAATCTCTCCTGTAGATCTGTAGAAGTATATTCACGTTTGCATATATAATATATTATACTACAGCAATTCTTACCATCTATTTACTTCAGTTTAGGATCTTGTTACTTAGCTTGCTCTGTTTATATTTTAATGGACTTACTGTTTATAATTTTAATAAGCTTATTCACAATGTTTATATTTTTTTGTCTAAATATTATGTGACTTCCACAATTCTCTATCTGTTTGTATCTTGTCCGTTCTAGCCCTGAAGAAGACCTGCAAAGTCGGTTCGAAACGTTGGCTTTTAATAAAATAGTTTTGCCACTATTCAGCCTATTTATGACCGCCACCCCGGACCATCTCCTTCCTTTATAATGCAACGGTTAACTATTAAATATTCAATACAATATATAATAATATGATCAAATAGATATGTTTAATAAACTATCCCCTATTATATATCCATATAAAAATCTGTAACCCAGTCAAATAAGCAAAAAAAAAGGGGGGTCTAGCTTTCAAAAGGTCGGATAATTCAAATTTCTTTTTTATATTGTTAGGTGTGTAGTGAATATAAAAAATCCTTTTAGACACCGAAAGGTGAATTCGCCACAGTGCTCTAAAATCCATTGAAATATCGGACTGTTATATTTCAACAAGGCCAGATTAATAATATGAAATATTAATTATAAATAATAGCTCAATATAATGAAGATGAATTTCTGGACATTTCCCTCGTTTACAATATGCAGGTTCGATTTTTAGGATCTGAAATATTTTAATCCATACGTTCTAATAAATTCGTTATCATTTCGTTTTCGACACTATTTTTTTCTTTTCACCTCTCTACTACGGCGTCACGTTAACATACAATTTTGAATTATAGCATATTACAGAGAGAATGGAATACTGAACAATTCCCTTGCTTATAGTATGCAAGCCCGATTTTTAGTTTCTGAGATATTTTAATCCATATGTAAAAACATTTCAATTAGTCGACTTTACCCGAGCGTTAATAGTGAGTGAAATATGACGGATTAATCTAATTCACTCTCACATTACACCAGTTCAAATATGCATAATTTTTGCATCTTCTTCACATCTTCCGACCAATGAATATAGATAACAAAGTGAGCTGAATTATACATAACTTTAACGTTAAATTGCAAGCAGATGATCGAACATCGAAATAAAGAATTACGAGGGATGGTAAAATTAGATTTGGAATAAATCGAAAAGTATACACTTTTTTTATATTGTATATGATTTTTTAAAAGTTTACAAAAATTCCTAAAAAATCAAAAAATAAATCGTTAAAATCGGACAATTATGAGCAAAGATATGGTCTCTAGATGTTTTTTTAAGTTCTACTGCAAATCCTTTGTTTTGGATTTTGATTTTTGAATGTGTTGCTGAAGAAATGATATTTTTTTTTAGCAGATTACTAATGATGAAAAATAAGTGTTTAGGCAAATAATTATAATTCAGTCCGCTGGTGTTCCTCAAGGTAGTATCCTAGGTCCTATCCTCTATACAGTTTATACAGCTGACATCCCTACCTGTCCCAGCACTGTCATCACCACATATGCCGATGACACATGTATCCTATCAGTAAACAATGACCCAGCAATTGCATCGCAAATGCTTCAATCACACATCATAAATCTAGAAGAATGGTGTCAAAACTGGAGAATTAAAATAAACTCCAATAAATCCCACCAAATTACCTTTACCCTTCGTCGTAAACCAACGACTTCCTGTCCTACAGTTTCCTTTAACAATACTCCACTTATCCCTGTTGAGCAAATCCGATACCTAGGACTCCACCTGGACAACCGACTAACTTGGAATCCTCATACTAGACTGAAACGACAAGAAACCGCTCGACGTTTCCGATTACTTCAGCACTTACTAGTCAAACGCTCTAAACTTCCCATTAATTACAAAAGACTCATATACTTGCCTATAATAAGACCTATTTGGACTTACGGAGTTGAGCTATGGGGCTCCACTAAACCATCGAATTCCTCTCGCATCCAATCCTTACAATCCAAAATCCTTCGTAAAATCCTCAATGCTCCTGACTTTGTCACTAATAAAATTATCCATAAAGATCTTAATGCTCCTTATGTTTCAGATCTGGCTCAATCCAGATACCTATCCTTCCATAATAAACTTCAGAATCATCCCAACCCTCTCGTTTCTAACCTTGCTTCCTCTTCAATTCCTGATAACCCTCCGAGGCGTCTGAAAAGAAGATGCCCCCGTGATCTCCTAATGTAGTCATATCATTATAGTGCTACCATTGGGTAGTTACTCAGCAATTGTATTCATGTCATTATATCAATTATGTCCAAATTTACTTGATGTATTTATGTAATACAGTTGTAAATGTCATGAAGAAATAAAAAAAAAATTATAATTAACTTTTTATTTCTTTTAATTTGTCACTAGGAAGGTAATGTTACTTTAGATGAATAATTTTTGGGAAATAATAAACCATTGTGAAATAATTTGTAGTGTTTTTATTTCCAATTGCCTAAGCAATTGTCAAACTTAATTTGACAAAAAAAAAATTGTTTTTATAGTCCTCCAAAATGATTCCATTTGGAAAATGATAGAGGTATAAATCACTAAATTGTGTGTATTAGGAAACTAAATAGTTATTAAGGCTTATCTAAGGTATTCCATTAGTAAGGCATAGTTTGGATTTCGTTCCGATTAAGAGCAGGTGAACTTTTGGCGCCCGTTATAAAACCTGTAAGGGATTTCGTCAACGGAGCTGGTTCATAATAGTCCAAGAAGTGAGTTGAAACTTTGTTACTTATTTGAAGAAAACTTATCTCTAAGCCGGAAAATTTCAAAATGGCTTTCATTGAACGTGGCAACTCAAATGAATAAAAAATGCATCGTTATCTGCCAAATATAGATAGGGAGCTTCGTTCATTAATACAAAATTCGAAATCGACGTTTTTTATTAGACAGCATTTTGTAAACAGTTAATCATTCTTCATACTTATCATTAACTACTTTGCAGCGCATTCTATCAGTTTTAATATACAGTATATATATATATATATATATATATATATATATATATATATATATATATATAGATAAGTGAGAGTGAAATTAGCTAGAATTTCAAAAGTAACTGACTTATTACTAAATTATTAACGGAATTATACATTCGTAAAAATTATTAATAGTTTATATGGACAAAATGAAATAAGGGTACTTCATAAATCCATTGGGAATAAGATTTAATAAACAGTTGGAATTTGTTTGGTGCATTTAAGTTATTTTAATGAAATTTTGCGTAGAATATTCGGACCGAAAAAGGCCAAATTAACCGGATAATTTAGGCGGTTACACAACGCTGAATTGCGAGAACGGTATTAATATAATAGAGGAGATTAAGTTAAGGCGAATAAAATGGGTATGTAAAATCCCTGGTACTCATACCAGACTGAAACGACAAGAAATCGCTCGACGTTTCTGATTACTTCAGGACTCACTTGACAAACGCTCTAAACTTCCAATTAATTACAAAAGACTCATATACATGACTATAATAAGGCCTATTTGGACTTACGGGGTTGAGCTATGGGGCTCCACTAAACCATCGAATTACCCTCCTATCCAATCCTTACAATCCAAAATCCTTCGTAAAATCCTCAATGTTCCCTACTTTGTTACAAATAAAACGACCCATAATATTTCTTATGTTTCAGATCTGGCCCAATCCAGATACCTATCCTTCCATAATAAACTTCAGAATTATCCCTACCTTTCCGGTTCTAACCTTGCTTCCTCTTTAATTCCTAATAATCCTCCGAGGCGTCTGAAAAGAAGATGGCCTCGTGATCTCTCAATGTAGACATATCATTAGAGTATTACCATTGGATAAATACTCAACAAGTGTTTTCACGTCATTATATCCGTAAGTTCAAATTTACTAAATTTATTTCTTTAATACAGTTGTAAATATCATTAGGAAATAATAAAAAATAAAAAAATCGCTGGACTTAGTTTCGAAATTATGCCTAAAAAGTTAATATGCGCTGTAGCGACTGGCAATTGTTCGAGGGGTAGACCAAAGCGAATGAGGGAAGATTGCGTTGCGGATGGAAGAATGTGGACATCAATTGATGGTATCGGTATCAAACCTTCGGATTGTCTAAGCTTTATTATTTTTATTATTTAAGTTCTTTAAGTGATAACTTCTTTATTTTTATACGAATATAAATTTCCAAATGCTTACTAAACTTTATAGAAAACTAAGCTATTATTGCATACTTTTATTTTAAAATATAAATTATTTATAATTTATTAATTGATGCTTACCACATATCGGCAGCCAGGGTAATAGGCTCGTAATGTAGGATCTCAGGTGCTGTAAAATAAAAAGATTCAAATGAGATGAATATTAAGTATTTTAATATTAATAAAATTACAAAATAAATAATAAAAGATTACTAAATCAAAAATATAAATATAAACTCAGAGAAATAAAAATAAATCACTCATACATCTCAGCTCTTATAGTTCCGAAATACATTTTATTCCGATGTTCAAAGATAAAACAAAACTTTTTAATTTCGAAAGGAATTTTTACCTTTCTCGGCTATCAGGAATGATGAATTTATTAACGAGATATTAAACGAGAGTGAATTTCATAGAGAAATGAAGAATTTCCATTTAAAATTAACAGTTATTGAAACGAGAGGTTTCAAAAGGGAAAAAAGTTATTATTAAACTGCCTACAATACAAAAACAGAATCAACGAAAACAATTGGATCATTATTAGCCCGTATCAATGTATACATATTACTTTCAATTACCTGTATATGCAATATATAGTAAAGGTAAAGGTTCAATTATATATATATTATATAGGAGTTTTCAACGAAAATATATGTTTTGAGGTCTCCTGGGTCCAAATAACCAAGTCCCTCAAAATGGTCTGTTTGTGTGTGTGTATGTATGTTATCAGTATAGCTCAAAATCAAAAGCCATATGAAAGTGAAATTTCATATTCAGGTTTTTATAAGCTTTCGATGTTACAGCCACATTTTCGTCAAAATCGGCAAACCGGAAGTGGTACTTTATATAATCGATTTAATACATTTTTACGATTTTCTCAAAAACGGCTCTAACGATTTTTATTAAATTCATTATATCAGTGTAAAGTTAAGCAGATTGATCATTATAAACTAAATTTTACTCGCTGTCCCGAAGTTACCCCAGCTTAATGTATATATGGTAAGTTCTGTGAATAAAAAAAAAAAAAAATTAATATTTGGGTATTTAAGTTTTAAAAATTAAGTATCCATAACAGAAGTTAAAAAAAAGTTCGCCATGTGGTGGCAAAGTCCAAGGTGCATTAAATCTAAGTGAGAAGCTACTGACTAAATTTCATTCATATTTATCTTCCGATGACTATAAATGAGTTTAAAAATGTATGTATATATATACATAAATATCGCTCGTAAATATATCGATTTTATTACCAGGTATTTTTTAATATTGGGCGATAAAAACCTTATTTATAATCCACAGGTATAGCCAGTTCTTTCCCTTTTAGGGTATTTCAAAAACAAGGAAGTAAATAACTAAAAATTATCATATTTATATACTTTATCAATCACACAATGAATATACGTTATAATACATAAAAGGGCGAGGAATATATTCTATCTAATTATTATTCTAGAAGTAGATTGGGAGAACTGATCCTTTGAAGGTCAAGAATGTTCTAGGCATTCGAGGTCGTGTCGGATTAATATTTTTTTTTATTTCTCATTTTTTTTTTAAATCTCATAACCGATAATTTATAGTACACGAACTTGGAAAACATTTTTATTATTATCTTCCCAGCTGATTTAAGACAATGTTTTTCAGAAGAAACAAAACAAAAATTAACTATCTCATAATTTTTCCTCTTTGCTAAAGATCGTACCCCTTAACAAGAGATAACATTCAATAACTTAATAATACGCCTGGTAGGAAATATTAAGGAAAAAAAATTTCTGATTTAAAAGATCAAACGTTCCATATACTAAACCGTCCCTCCAGGCAAAAATTAATCAGAGAAATATATAATTATGGTCAGGTGTGATATGTAATGTCATAATAATATGTGAATTATTTCATAAAGATAATAGGTTATAAGTTGTTTCCTGATTTTATGTATCGCATAAATTAGGCTAAATACGTCTTAATTTGACATAATGATTCTAAAGATACGATCAGAAAAAAAATACAACAGTTTTATTTTTAATGTTTAGCTTTATATATTCCTCAACAAAGTCTTAAAGATATTTAATTTTCTTTTTCATGAACTCAGATATCCGTATTCATACAGTTTTTGTTTTGTTTGTAACCACAAATTCATATTCTAGCCTTTGATGTTCGAAAAGATTTTTCAAAACAGCTGATGCGTGTGACATATGTGATTTCTCAAATTAATAATGATTCATTTATTGCTATTAATTTTAAAGTTATTATTAAGTTAATTTATGATTTCATTTAAACGTTCAAAAGTTATTACAGAAATAGCTAACGAAAAAATAGTTCAGTACCTTTTTCTCCTCTGTTTCTAACCGATTATTCTTTTTTTTTTTTCTTTAGTAGCTACGAATTTTAGTGTATAAAGGGGGTTTGAGGGTTAAGTGACAAAACTGCAAAAATAAATTAAGAACTTCAAAACAAGAAAAAAATTTCCTCTGAAGGTATGTCCGCAACGCTTTGTTTAGGAGATATTCACACCCAAAGATTTTCGTTGTTATGAATTATATACGTTATATGAAATAAATAACACCTATTTATTTGTTCTAACTACTTTATTAATTAAATGTAAACATCAACATTCATATTATATGTTGTTCAAAGTGATTTGCTTGAGCATTAAGACAGGCTCGGCATCTTTCGTCAACAGCAGCAGTGGCAGAACGGTACTATTAGTGAAAATAGAAGGCGTAATGATGAGTACTCTGCGAAAGCCTCTTACAAACTGATAAATGTTATTGAGAGTTCCCAATGCTAATTCCAAATAGTGTTAATCCTTTTGTTGCCAATAGTTCTTCTACAGTTAGGGATAAAAGGCCATGTTAGTATTCCATCTAATCCATCTCTTAAACTGAGCGTTTGCGGACATACCTTTACTTTGAACAACATTTAATATGAATGTTAATGTTTACATTTAATTAATAAAGTAGTTAGAACAAATAAATAGGTTTTATTTAGTTTATTAATGTAAATAATTCATAACAATGAAAATCTTTAGGTGTGAATATCTTCTAAACAAAGCGTTTGCGGACATTCCTTCAGAGGATTTTTTTTTTTTTTTTATGTCCGTTCATTTTTGCAGTTTGGCCACTTAAACACCCTGTATAAATAAAAGTTTGTTCTCTGATTGCTTTGAAATTTTGAAACAACATTGCAATCTAATTCAGAATTGTTTTTATATACATTTCATTTCGAAATAGCGGCCGAAAACGTCGCTATACACTTTAACTCCAAAACGTTATAAACGATTTTAATGAAACTTGGCTAAGGAGTTCTCCTTAAAGCCCTTTTAATTCATGTATATAACCTAAGTGTTCGTCCTCAGATTGCGAGCTGGTCGTGGTCTAGCTATAATTACGGCTAGGTAAATGATTACGTTATTATATTAATTATTATTTCCAGAATGAAAGCCCTGGAAGTATACACTCACCAACATACTCTGGAGTGCCAAGGATCTCATGGACTTCCGTTCCATCCAGGATTACCCTCGAGATCTCAAAATCGCAGACCTTAACGTCGCAGTCAGGAAACTCTCCCATCATCACCAAGTTTTGAGGCTAAAAAAAAAAAAAAAAGAAACTCACATTAGCATTCTCAATGCAATATTCTATAATTATTTATGATGTTTAAAAACACATATATATTTAGTTTACATTAATTTTGCCGCTTTGTTGTAAGGTATCAAGCAAATGTGTTGTCATTTATTTAAATGAAATGAAAAAATAATTTTATTCTGTGACTACAGTCCCCTAAGAATAATAACAGAGTTAAAATATAAGGTTAGATTATTATGTAATGTTAGCTAAAATTTTTCTTATTTTTTTATAATGAGAGACAATTTTCATATTTTTGTTCATTATAATTATTCTAAGGGACTAAATGTCCCAGGATAAAATTTATTTTTATAAAATAAGGCTGTGTTTATTTCTTCACCATATTTATTTCAATTTTCAAAGCTACGTTTCGGCTGGTAAGCCATCTTCAAGTCATTTTACCCAACCATGCTTTTTGCATGTAATTAGACTTTGGACTACATGCAAAAAGCATGGTTGAATAAAGTGGCTTGAAGATGGCTTACTGGCCGAAACGTAGCTATGTAAATTGAAATAAATATGGTGAAGAAATAAACAGAGCCTTATTTTATAATATTAGAAAAAAATCACCTAAAACTAGCACATATGAAAATTTATTTTTCTATAAAAAAAAAATATATATATATATATAGATATATATATATCTGATAGTAACTATTACTAAATCTACTATACCGCAATTAGGGGTCTGTGGTATCTAACCTTGTTTATTCGTATTAAATATGTAATTAGTAAATAGTTCTGTTCAGTTCTAGGACCCGTAGAAATATATAGTAAATTTGCAATTGATACACATAGAAGTTGTTTCTATCACCCCCACCATTCGACATAAAAAAGCAAAAATTCATAAACGTGGCAATACCTATCCAACGGAATTAATATATCCTGATAATGATCCTTGATAAAGCTTACAAATACTTTCTTCCATAATGATATTCATCTGAGAGGAAAGGTAAGTCAGACCTGACCTACTCGAGGCCTGCCCTGTCCCACTGAGCGATGCCGCGCCACTAGAGGGCGACAGGTTGTGATATCTAATTTGTCGAGGAGCTGTGTAAGCCGGCAGGCGGGTACCCTAATCCTCCGGTATTAGCATATTCGTCGTGGGCGTCCTGGGTCATCATCATCCCGGGGTGTCCTTTTCTTTTTCTCTTCTTATTGGCCACTTCTCGCCGCTGCGGAACGAGGCCAGGTGTGGGTTTGAGGCCGGCTCCGCCAAGTCTCAAACGGTTTTCGACACAAATCCTTCACTGCTCAGATAACTTATATCACTGTAGAATGGTTAATTTTTTTCTTTTAGAAAGTTTAAGGACATTAATTTTTTTTCCTTTTCCTTTCAGAAACAAAAACCAGTAGAACTTTCAATTCGAGAGCTATGGATCCCAACGGATTAAGATACCTTCAAGCGATAATGTGCCCACGAAATCATTTTTTGTGAAATTTTCTACAAAAATTTGGTATTGATCCCTTTCACTGAACGAAAGCCATTTGGACAAGAAAACTCTTTTGAAGGTTCAGTTCCAAAAACATTTTAAAAAATCTTTAAAATAAAAATTATTGTTTTAAAAATGAGCTTTTGAGGATACATTATGAAGTCACTGCGTTTTTTTTTCAGAGCAAACAAAAAAATGTTTCAAATAAACAAACTACAAATGGAGATAAAATCTAAGTAGTTTTTGTTTATTTATTTCTTATGTAGGCATCAAATCAAAAAATCACTCGTACTGCTTTGAAGAACAATAATTCAGCTTCCCAACGGATATAGCAACATCGAATTTTGAGAACATCCTGAAGAGTCATGAATAATCGAAAGGGTATTGTCATGACCACACCTCATTGGTCACTCGCAATAAATTATTGAGCCTCGGATGGGTTCTTTTGCCCCACCCTCTCTATTCAAAAGACCTAGCTCCAAGTGACTACCACTTATTCCGGTCTCTGCAGAACTGAATGAAAGGAAGAGGACATCAAAAACCACTTCGATCAGTTTTTAACAATGAACTCCAGACATTCTATGAACATGGCATTATGCAGTTAGAGAAAAGATGGGAAAAAGTCATATTAAATAATGGTCAATATATTGTAGATTAAAATTCTTTAAAAAAAATTATTTAATAAACATGCCTGCTTCAAAACTAGTTCAGATCCATATAAATTTATGTTTATTAAATATCAGATGAAGATTCCATTAAATTTTATTGAGTTTAAAGTAAATTTTTCTTGTTAAAGGTTTCGTTATCATTTGAAGAATAAATTAATTGCCAACATGGACTATGTATGAACAACATGAACTATACTAAATATAATTTTTTTAAATAAAAAATATCAAAAAGTTTCTACTAATTTAGGAAATGGGGCTTTTTTAATCAGTAGATGAGTAAATATTTAAATTTTTTGAGGTTCTATAAAATTCAATAATACTTTTAGCTTTCCGCTTGCATCATAAAATAATTTTATCACCAAGTCGAGAGAAAGAGTATCTTACAAAAATATTGGGCTCTTTGGTCTATATAACTTCGTTATTTTGACATTTTGTGGGTGGTCTTTGAACTTTTTGTCTAGACTTTATGATCAAATTATATCTTACGAATCGAGCGAAAAGCAAATGGATTAGTGTTGCCCAAATGCGAGACCAAGACGAATCTTTTGCGCAAGAGTCTTCCAACAGTCTTGCAAACAGTCTTGCACTTACTCGTTAGGATATTATTATCGAGATATTAGGGAGTGAGGTAGCTCAGTGGTAAGGTACAGAGCTTTCAATGCTGAAGGTCCCAGGTTCAAATCCCGGCTCATGGTAGAAAAATTATTTATTCTGTTTCATTGGCCGTGAGGCGACGCTGGGTTAATTAATTAGGGGGAAAATCTGGCGGTTGACCGTGATCACGGTCAAATCACCTCCTTCGTCAACCGTAGAACAAGAAACAGTGCTTTCCCTAAATAGTACTGAACCCAAGGGTTGTAGTGGTACAGTTTTTTTTTTTTTTTTTTTTTTTTTTTTTTTTTTTTTTTTTTTTTTTTTTTTTTTTTTTTTTTTTTTTTTTTTTTTTTTTTTTTTATAAAGATATTATTATTAGAGAGAGACCAAATGAAAAATTGGAAGAGTTAAATGCAAAAGTATATTGGTTAAACCAATTCTTTATATATAGTAAATAAAATTATCAGGTATTAGTAACTATTTTGCCTTAAGTTTTATTCACAAAAACGATTTTTTTTTTTTTGACTACTTAATAGTTGGCCGTTGTATTATAGAGGAAGGAGATGGTCCGGGGTGGCGGTCACAAATAGGCTAAAATAGTGGCAACAATATTTTATTAAAGGCCAACGTTTCGAACTGAATTTGCGGTCCTTCTTCAGGGAATGTGTTCAACAAGGAGTTTCACTTAAAACTGAACTGAGATCACATTAAAACTGATTTTTTTTTTTTCACCAATCTTCTTCTTGGTCTCGCACCAGTTGGGCGGGCAACAGTAAAATGGATGTTCACTAATTTTTAGTACCTTATTAAATTGAAAAATTTAAACCCTTTTAACCCAGTGGTATCTCATTAATGTATTATCGGACTAGAAATATTTCGTGGTCCTTAATTATTTATTCTAAATAAATAATAATAATATACAATCGTTAAGGCAATGATTAGCAAAAAAAATATGGTAATTGATTGTTTTAAAAAATAATTTGTACCGTCTGTGATATTTACTGTCTCTTCTCTTTGTCTGAATATATCTATTTCTGCTAAAAGAAGGGTGGTAAGTGAAAGTTGTGTGATGAACACACTGTACCAGATTCCTTTGATATCAGAGCACAACATTATCTGTTCATTAGTTACAAATATGTTATAATATTTGCAGTTTAGCATTCGTTACATCAAGTTAGCAGAGCCAGCAGCTGTGCCGTACAGAGACACTTCCTGCCAAATCTGGTCTGCCCACGTGCTCTGACTCAGCTCAACTTGGTCCAGGGTTCCTTGCCCGATGTCTACCGCAATTATCTTCAATGGCGTCCAAAGTCGAGGGATAAAAAGAAATATATAAAATAATACTTAACATCTGGAGAAAACAATTATTGTTGCGATCGTCCAAAAATAGCTGCTAAAAAGCTAGCTATCTCGTAATACAATGACGTAATAGTCCGTGGTACAGACCCGTTTTTATCGAATTATTAACATCCGCCTGAAACTTAAATAGTAAATAGTTTCATCTCATTATAACCTACGACTATTTTATTTACGAAAACCCTTGAATTGGGGCGTTTTCAATCTGTAGGGAGGCAAACTTTGTTTATTTAATTAGGTACTAAAAGCTCGTAAATACTCATTTGCTTTCTATTTTTGATCATAGGATAATTTGATCACAAAATTGATAAAAAAAGGCATTCTACGGTTTGTCCTATATAACCTCGTTATTTTGAACATTAGACGGTGTAGGTCACGCCAAACCGCTCAATATTTTTGAAAGCCACCTTTTTACTCGATTTTGTGATCAAATTATCTTACGATCCAAGTAGAAAGCAACATTTTGACATCAAAGATGTTCAACGGTCTGGTTTGGTCGCCAACATGAAATTGAAACGAGCAATGTTAAGGCCATTGTTGATTAAAATCCCACCCAATCAGTGCGAGAGATTGCTATGGCCCTAAATGTCTCGCACATAAGCGTAGAAAACCATTTGCACAAGCTCGGCTATGTTTCCAGGCTTAATTTTTGGGGCCCTCGCATGACTTTTATTTTCGAGAATCACAAAAAATGTTATAACTTCAATACGACTTTAGCTATCTACAAGAAATTTAGCAGGAATTTAGGGCTACATAAACTACACAAAATGACATCAACATAACCTATGTAAACAAATTACAAATGGAGATGCTTTACAATAGCATTTCATTTTCTAGGTGAAATTCTCTCAAGAAAGATCAGACTACAGCTATATAATATCTTTAAACCTAGGAATCGGAAATTCTAGTGCCT